CCTGCCTCCACTCGTCCTCCAGCCCTCCTCATCTCCATCACCACCATCTCCAGAACAGATGTCTGCTGTAACCCAGTAGCTCTCTTCGCTGTAGACACATGGAGGCGCCATCTGGACCGGAACGCGTCTCCTCTCCAGATTGGTGTGAGTGAGTGTGTGTGTGTGTGTGTGTGAATGTAAATCAGAGAGAGAGAGAGTGTACATCAATGTGTGTGTGTTTGCATCTGCGGGCCGATCATGTGTGTGTGTGTGTGTTGGTGAGTAAGCATGTCTGGGAGACAGGCGTCGTCGTACTTTCACGACACACCTGAGCGCCTCCACTTTTTCTTTCTCTCCGTTCTGTTTTCTAGAGTCAGGCCCACGACGGGCGAGAGAGAAAAAACACGACACCAGCGACTCGAGCTGCATCACAACAACCACAACAGTGTCTGTCATCACGCGTCTCCTCAGAGTCTGACGACACAATTAAACAGCGACACATGAGTTAATGTGGCGACAGATTCACGCCGCCTCAGGAACTCACCGCGGCGCTAACACGCCACAGGAGCGCAGAGGGAGGTGCACGTGTACATGTAGAGGGGTGTACAGCACAACAGGAGGAGGGAAGATGGGCTGCACACACACGGCAAACAAATCCCACCCCCCCCCACATGACGGACACATTTCCACAGCAACATGTTTGAGGCAGACGGATGGTGGATGTTGTGGAGCTACTGGGCGACCAAAAGGCTTTGGTGAACCCACAACGGACAACAGCAGACATCTGGTGGAAACACAACCCCAACCCAGCAGCAGCAGAGGCAGAAGAGAGGAGAGGACGGAGGAGAGGACGGAGGAGAGGACGGAGGAGAGGACGGAGGAGAGGACGGAGGAGAGGAGGAGAGGAGCTGAGGGAAGAGGAGAGGACGGAGGAGAGGAGAGGAAAGATTAGAAGAGAAAACAGAAAAGACGAGAGCAGAGAAGATGAAGAAGAAGAAGAGGTCAGGATGACCAGATGAAGATCAGACTCAGACTCAGACTCAGACTCAGACAGGAACACACAGCAGGTCATTGACAGTGTAGTGTTTATAATGTGGTTCTAACCATGGTAAGGAAACTGCACTCCATCGTTCTCATGTTTAATCTTCCTCTCCTGCACACTGGCCAAATGGTGCTGCACTGAAAGGCCAAA